CCCCTCTCCCTCCCCCCCCAGCCCCCTGTGCGGAGCCCCCTCTCCCTTCCCCCCCAGCCCCCTCGTGCAGAGCCCCCTCTCCCTCCCCCCCCAGCCCCCTGTGCGGAGCCCCCTCTCCCTTCCCCCCCAGCCCCCTCGTGCAGAGCCCCCTCTCCCTCCCCCCCCAGCCCCCTGTGCGGAGCTGGCCGAGCCCCTTCTCCCTTCCTTCCCTCAGCCCCACCCAGGCCCCCTGCAGACCCCCCCAACCCCTTTTTTGGCAAAACTGGGCATTCATAAAGTTTTCCCGAGGCCAAGGCAGGATGGATGGCCACCCAAGGCCAGGGGCCCCAGACTTTTTTGGTTGTGCTCTACCTGGTCCGCACCCCACCCTGGGAGCCAGGGCCAGAGCCAGGGGTTCTGGTGGGTCCAGAGGTGGCAGTCAGGGGCCAGGAGTGGGGCCGCATTGGGAGTGGGGCCAGAGGTGCGGCTGGGGCACTACGTAGTTTGGGGATCACTGTCCTAGGCTGTGGGAAAAGCCACCCAGGGAGCCCAGGCAGCTGTGGGGAGCCCATGGGCCTCCACTTGCCCTGGGTGGGGGACTGGGGTGCCTGAGAGCAGCTGCTGCCCCATATCCCTGCCCCCCAGGGTGCGCCACCCAGGGCAGATGAGGGGTCCAGGGCTCAGTCCTGAGCAGCTCTTCCCCTGGTCGGTCAGGCCAGCGGGTGTGGCCTGGGGAAAGGGGAGAAGAAGGGGGAGTGGGGAGATGGGGGGGGGCAATCTTCTTTGTGCCCAGGGTCCCAATAAATGTTAATCCACCTTAGGGGGGGGGGATTTCTTTTACCTTCCCTCCAAGTGGTGCCCTCCCTGGGAGCAGGGGTGGGGAAGGGGGACCCTGGCTGGGCTGGGGGCTCTGCCCTGGGGGAGGCTCCCAGGGACCAGTGGGAAGGGCCTGGCTGGAGACTCCCCGCTCCCGGCTGCAGCCTGGACTTCGGGGTCCCCAGCAGCAGCCGCCGGGGCTCAGAGATCTTGCAAAAAAACATGGGCTCCCCACAGCGACTGCCCCGGCGTGGGCCCCATGCAGCCCCCCCCCACTGCCCACCCCGGGCAGGCCCCATACACACCCCACCACCGCTGCCTGGGCCACCATGCACCTCCCCGCAGACCCCCCCATGTAGTCCCCCAAGTGCTCTGTACTGTCCAGTCCCCCCCCCTTGCCAGGGCCCCCCCCACCCCAGTCTTCATTAGAAGAAGATTCTGCCCCCCCATTTCAGACTCTCCCTTCAAAATAGCATCCTTCCCTCCCCCTCCGCCCAGATTTTCCCCATCACACTTCCCATGGGGCAGGAACCCCTCATTCTGCCTCCATTGCCCCCCCACACACACACACACTCTGGGGCCGCCCACCCAGCCCGCGTTCCCGCTGCCCCTCGCAGCCCTCCACCCCCGGCCCTGGTGCAGGGGCACCACCACCAGCGATGCACCAGATGCACCACAGCCGCAGGTACTTACGTGCAGGTGCTGAGAACTCAAGTCCAGAAGGGTCTTAGCCAGGCAGGCAAGTGTGAGTTACGTGTGGAGGGGGCAGGGCCGGGAGCCAATCTAGGGTGACCAGATGTCCTAATTTTATAGGGCCAGTCCCGATGTTTGGGGCTTTTTCTTATATAGGTGCCAATTACCCGTCCTGATTTTTCACACTTGCTGTCTGGTCACCCTAAGCCAATCACACGCTCCGGTGGGAAATTACAAAAAAAAAAAAAAAAAGCAGAATCCCCAGCCCCGGAAAAGCCCCAAACAAGCAACAGCAGCTTAAAGTAATAAATAGGCAATTACCTACACAAAGAAACCACCCTCTGCTTCTTGCTCCTGTGGTTTGTGCTCCTGCCCTAGAGGCTGCAGCCAGGAGAGGGGAATCTCCAGCCGGGCCCTTCCCACTGCTCCCCGGGAGCCTCCCCCAGGGCAAAGCCCCCGGACCAGCCCCAGGGCGGCCCCGCTCAGGGGGGAAGGTGAGAGACTACCCCAGGAAGCGGTGCCCCCGGTGCTCCAGGCTGCAGGGGAAGGGTCTGGCCCCAGGCTGCTCCCCGCGGAGTTGGCTGCAATCCCCTGCCCCCGCCCCGGGCCCAGTGTGTGCAGGGGAGGGGGGAGCCTGGCCGGGAGGAGGGAGGCTGGCTGGGACAGCGACACTTGGGGGGCGGACAGAGGTTACCACCTGCTCCCCACACGATCTGCTGCTTTGTGGCTCCTGTCCCTGTCGGTGCTGGTGTGAACAGAGGCTGCTCAGTGAGATCTGCTGACAAGGAGCTCCCAGCTAGTCCTGGGAGGTGGGGGGCACAGGGGCAAATCAGGGGAAAGGGGGGGGGCAGAATCTAGAAAGGGGCCAAACTGACTACACAGGAGGGTCTAACAGCTGGATGCAGGGGAAGGAGAGAGGTCCAGGGGTAGGAGAGGGAATTAGGAACCGCGTATATGCACTGCCAGACGTGGCAGAGGGGGAAACCCAGGAATAGGAAGGGGCAGAAGGGAGAAAAGTGAACAAGCCGCCTTTGTGCACTGGAGCATAGGAAGCTCCATAAATGGGGAGGGGGCACCGGTGCCCCCTGCTCTGCCCAGAGACCCTGCCCCCAATCCACCTCTTAACCCCCACAGCCAAACCCTCGGTCCACCTCTTCTGATCCCCACTCTGCCCTTCACCCAAGGCCCCACCCACTGCTCATTCATCTCTGCCCCTTCCCTTTTCCCCATTACTCGCTCCTAAACCAGGAAAAATGTGATGGGGCCATGATCACGAAGCGGTGGAGGGACGAGGTGGAGTGAGGGCGGGGCCTGGGGGAAGAGGCGGAGCGTTTGTGGGACGAGGCGGAGTGAGGGTGGGGTCTGGGGGAAGAGGCGGAGCGTTTGTGGGACGAGGCGGAGTGAGGGCGGGGCCGGGGGAAGAGGCGGAGCGTTTGTGGGATGAGGAGGACTGAGGGCGGGGCCTGGGGGAAGAGGCGGAGCGTTTGTGGGATGAGGCGGACTGAGGGCGGGGTCTCAGGGGAAAAGGCGGAGCAGTGGAGGGATGAGGCGGAGTGAGGGCGGGGCCTGGGGGAAGAGTCGGAGCGTTTGTGGGATGAGGAGGACTGAGGGCGGGGTCTCAGGGGAAGAGGCAGAGCAGTGGAGGGATGAGGCGGAGTGAGGGCAGGGCCTGGGGGAAGAGGCGGAGCGTTTGTGGGATGAGGCGGAGTGAGGGCGTGGCCGGGGGGAAGAGGCGGAGTGTTTGTGGGATGAGGCGGACTGAGGGCGGAGTCTCAAGGGAAAAGGCGGAGCAGTGGAGGGATGAGGCAGAGTGAGGGTGGGGCCGGGGGGAAGAGTTGGAGCCTGGGCAGTGCCACGGTCTGGCTGGCGGTGCCCCCCCTTTCTAGGGAGCGTCTGGTGCTCTTGCCCCCAGGGTGCAAAGTCTGCTGCTCGGCGCCGCTCCGAAGCGAGGAGATCCGCACCACAGCCAGTGCCTGCCCCCTGCCTGGCAGCCTCTTTCATTTCGGGGACCCGAGTCCCCAAGCCTCTTATTCGCGCTTTGTCCCCCTCCCCGACAGCCGACTCCACAGCTTCCAGCCAGCTCATTGGCCAGGACTGGGAACCACAGCCAATGGGAGCTACGGGGGCGGTGCCTGCTGATGGGGGCAACCTGCCTGATGCAGAGCCTGGGCCGCATCTCTGCTAGCGACAGCAGGGAGCTGCTTCGGGGAGCCGCTGATGTGACCCCTCCCTCCGAATTCGTTCCTCCCTGGCCCCTGCTCGCCACAGACCCGCCCACAGCCAGAGCCTGGCCCGTTGATTGGGTGACCAGATAGAAAGTGTGAAAAATCGGGACAGGGGTGGGGGGTAATAGGAGCCTATATAAGAAAACCCCCCAAATATCGGGACTATCTCTATAAAACCGGGACATCTGGTCACCCTACGCATGGGGGTGATGCCTTGGCCAGGAGGCAGAGGAGAGTCCCACCCACCCTGGGATAACCGTGGCACCGAGGGGGGGGGGTGCCCTGGTCACAGTGAGGGGAGGGAAACCCTGCTCTACTGAGAGACCCCCCCCCTCTGCTTCCCACACCCTGTGACATGATGGGGGATCTCCCATGTAAGGGACACAAACAGGGGATGGGGACCTCTTGGTCCCTCCCAGACATGGGGTAAGCGGTGTGCTCTGGTCAGTGAGAGGTGCTTGTCTTCCTCCTCTTGCCTACACACACACCCTCCTCCTCCCTGTGTACGCACACGCAAACACATCCTCCTGCCCACACACACACACTCCTCCTCCTCCCCCTGCTACACACAAACACACACACACTCCTCCTCCCCCTACACACACACACACACACACACTCCTTCCTCCCCTGCCTGCACACACACTCACCTATATACTCTCACACATCCATCCTCCTCCTGCCTACACTACACACACACGCACATCCTCCTCTTGCCTACACACACACACCCTACTTCTCCCCCTGCACACACACAGACACTCCTTTTCCCCCTGCCCACACACACACACACACACACACATCCTCCTCCTCCGCCCCCCCCCCATCCTGAGGAATTCCCCCATCTCAGAGAGGTTTCCCTCTGCCTCCCAAGCAGACACACTCTGAAAAGGGCCCAATCAAGCAAAACTCTCAAAGAAGTTTAAGAACAGGGACTAATTATTATGAACCCCCCAGTAACATACAGTATGTGGCATTTGCTATGTCCATCTGAAAATAGCCCATGAAAAGCTGTTGAAATGAATTTTCAAGCCATATTTTCAGGATGCTGTTTTTCCTGTAGCTCCTACTATTTTTTCCACCATTGTTCAAATTTCTGCTATTCGTTTTCTAGTTACTGGATGTCAGAGTAAGGAAGTAGTTTTGTGAAACTGGTAAATGGTTTAAAATTAATCAGTCTGCACATTATTCGTGTGTGTGTGTGTGTGTGTGTGTGTGTGTGTGTGTGTGTGTGTTATTCG